TAGCACCTTTCTATCTAATCAAGATACTCAAAGCTCTTTACAACACAATCTTATGTCTTATCAGAGTCAGAGATTCTTTATTGTCATTCGCACCACATGTGGTACATGTGGTGGAGCGAAATTATGTACACAGGGTCCCAGTTACAGCCAACAATAAAAATGTAAAAGAAAAACAATAAAAACATATAAGATATGAACTACGAAAACATTAACTAAATACACACTAAGCATAAAAACATTACGTCGAACAGCAGCGCAAACATGAGTCTGTGTGAGCAGATGAGCACACATGAACACATCAACATGAAACAGATCAGCAGCAACATGAAACAGATCAGCAGCAACATGAAACAGATCAGCAGTGACATTGAAACAGATCAGCAGCAACATGATGTGATTTTTTTCACAGTGATTATCCTGGTTAGAGATTCATGAGTCTAACAGCCTCAGGGTAGAAGCTGTTCCTCAGTCTAGTGGTTCTACACTTAATGCTCCTCAACCTCCTTCCTGAGGGGAGCGGGGCCTAAAGTGTGTGTGCTGGGTGAGTGGGGTCCTTCATGATGCAGGTGGCCCTCTTCCTGCATCTAGAGGTGTAGATATCTGTGATGGTGGGGAGACTGACTCCAATAGACTTCTGTGCAGCCTTCACCACTCTCTGCAAAGCTTTTCTTTCTGCAGCTGTGCAGCCTCCATGCCACATATTGATGCTGGAGCACAGGATGCTCTCCACTGCACACCTGTAGAAGGAGGTGAGGACTGAGCTTCCCAGACCAGCTCGCCTCAGCCGTCTGAGGAAGTAGAGTCTCTGATGAGCTTTCTTGATCAGGCTGGTGGTGTTGTTGCTCCAGCTCAGGTTGTCATTCATGTGTACACCCAAGTACTTGTAGCTGGAGACCACTTCCACTGCAGATCCTCTTATGTTCAGGGGGGAGTAGGTGTGTTTGTTCCTTCTGAAGTTCACAATCATCTCCTTTGCCTTCTTCACATTGATGTGAATGTTATTATCTTTGCACTAGCTCTCAGGTGTTCCACCTCTTGCCTGTAGCTGGACTCATTGTTGTTTGTGATGCATCCCACCACCGCTGTATCATCTGCAAATTTTACAATGTGACAGCCTGGATGGGTAGCTGCACATTCATACGTGAGCAGAGTGAACAGGAGGGGGCTCAATACACATCCCTGAGGAGAGCCAGTGCTGTCTTTCTGCTCCAGGTGGTTGAGCGCAGTGTGGACCACAGAGGAGATGGCATCCTCTGTTGATCGGTTCTCATGGTATGCATACTGATGAAGGTCCTCGTTGATGTTGATGGTTGTATTGATGTGGGTCATGACCAGTTTTTCGAAGCATTTAGCGACTATCGGGATTATGCACCCTTATTTACCTCCACATGCACATTCATACAGCACTCTACTACATCTCAAGCTAATCTGTATTCGTAAAGACTAATCAGTGCTTTAGATCACATTCATACACCGATGGGACACACATCGGAGGTAATCAGACGTTCAGTGTCTTGCCCAAGGACATGACCTCAGTAGAAAATAAAGCCCAAAATAATTAGACTTTAAAAATCTAATGATCTCATCAAATCCAATAATACCTCCAGTTTTTTTTTTTTTTAAGCTCCATGCAGTTATTCTACTGTCAAGAATATGGACCTGATTCTTGACAGCTCTTATAAACTGGAACAGCTCAGTGGTGTTGTAAAACCCAGGTCAGAGTTATTGATAAGGTGAAGCCTTATTGCTCTAGCGAAGACTTTGAAAAGGTTATTCCTGCTTGTATAACCTTGTGTCTATTGTAAAGCTCATCTCTGTGCCATCTAACAGTTCAGAACATAAAAGTTTATCTTTTAACTCATTCAAAATAATAAAGTAAACATGATGTCTTGGCATCTTTTCACTGTCTTCCTGCCACTCTTTGGATGGATTTGACATTTTTAGTAGCTAATCTTCCCAGATCCAGATGAAAATGTGAAGATGGCAAATCATTTTGTGTGGCTGTTCTAAATCTATAGAATAATTTTCTTCTACTGTGCATGAAGATACACACTGCTGAGACTGTAGAGGTATTCGTATCTCTGCTGAACACTTACTTCTTTTGGCTGTCAAACCAGATAGAATATGAGACTTTCATAGATCTTATTTTTATTGTTACTTTTTGTTTACTTTTATTTTTTTTCATTTAAAATTCATTTGTTTAGTTCATTTGTTCAACTTTGTTTTATTTTTTAAGGTACAGCAGTGCATAATGCTCCTATTAAACAAGAGCAAATACAAAGTACTGAAACACATACAAGAGACGGTGACTGTAAAGTATCACCACAGTTATGTTAACAATTTGGTTTTTGATGGGAAATTTTTATGATCATATCAATATGAAAAGTGATTTTATTTGTTGATCTTATTTTATTGTTGTTTTATTTTATTGTTAAAATTAGCCACAGTAACCAGTAGATGTCAGCAAAGTAAAGTGTTACTTTTGGCAGGACCTGAGCATGTGAGAAGTGCCCATAACTTGATAAACAAATCACATTTTTCACCATTCTTCACATAACTTATTTTCTCTGTGTCACTCAGAATCTAAATGAACAAACTAAAAAAAAAAGTTGCTGTAAACTGGACAGAAGCTCACCCCTATGTGGAGCGCATTCTTAAGACAGTTTCAGTTCAGAAAATGTGCTATTTTTTTTATTTTCTTTGACGGAATAAAGTATTTTTCTTCTATACAAAAATGTAGTTTATTGTTAACTAAAATAAAATCCAGTATTGCATAACTTCTTTTACCAGAATGTCACTGCTCCTTTGAAAGAATAATCAATCTTTTATGAAATACTATATTCAAGTACTATTTCAAATTTATCATAGTCATTGTGTAAAAACAAACAAAAACAAACAAACATTAGAATCACTTTATTTTGGACAAATCTGATGTAATATTGATGGTTTTTAACACATTTTAGCTGTGCTGGACTCAGCACCTTACAAAACGTTCATCTCCAGAGCTTCAAGTAAAGGGGTACATGCGATGTCACTTAGAAAAACAACCCATATCTAAGACCTAACTTCAAATAATGTGGCTTCCTGCAGAGGGGGAAAACACCATGACAAATGTGCAATATATATTTTTTCTTGTCTTCTTTTTTATCTTTCATTTCTTTCTAACCAAAATTGACTCTCGCGCCCTATTTTGCTTTCTTTTCTTGCAAGTATTCAAAGAAGCGCAGCAGAAGTAGTTTATCTAAGAACAAACAGCATGCTGGTGGGTGTAAGGCCAATTTAAAAGGCTGATTATAATTTTTGTGATTTCCTCAGGTTTTCTTTTCACTGTAAATGTCAGCTGTGATGTGAAATAGGTGTGTGTGTGTTTGTGTTTGAGTCACCAGTGCTGTAGGTGGGGGAGTCACATTTTTATCCTGAGGCCATAAATGTCAAATCCTTATGCAACGTAATATCACAAGTGTTTACCCTGCTTACACACACACACACACACACACACACACACACACACACACACACACACACACACACACACACACACACACACACACACACACACACACAGTCATGCATATGACCCTTTGTAATCTTGTCTTGCAAACTGATGCAAGATTTCATCAGAGAATCACAAGGGTCTCACCGACTAGATGTGTGCAGGAAAAGGATTTATGGTTGATGACAAAAACAATCATTCCAGACTGTGATTTTGGTCAGAGTTTGTGAAAGTGATGTGGTTTAAGTGTGAGAGAAGTAAATGCAGAGATCGAAACTCTGGACCACAGAAGAAAAACGTAACTAAACACTAATTCCCTTTTACTTCAGCTTTAACCTTTAGGACTCCAGCAGCATCGGGAATTCTGCTACGCTGATTATTGCACATGCAATCTCTGTGGTATTGTGTAGTATTGTGGCTGTGACACTCAATAGCTTTTGTGGGACACTGTGTGTACAGTATGAGCCTCTTTGTAATAAATCAGATTCATGGGAACCAAAGCGCTCCTTCTTGTTTAACTCTGCACACCGACCGTGATGGTAGTTTTCCTTCTCTCTTGTGAGGCCACTAGTTTCAGGTCTATAGGAACAGGTATCGTTTCCCTGTAAGTTACGGGATGACTGTGATTTTCCAGTCACCGTGCATCTCAGTCAGTGTCACATTGTTCGAACCACAGCGTGTTGTCTGATAATTCATCACGTAGCTCTGCTAAACTTCTTATGTTTGGTGAGCAAAGTGTAGCTGTAAACCCTAAGCTTAAGGGTTTAGTTCAAATCAAAACACTTTCAAAACAGATTGTTTTCAAAAAAAAATTTATTACAAGACTCAAAGAAGCAGAGCTATACAATATTTCACAAGAAAGATTAAAACAAAACAAAGAAAAGGCTGCAGAATATATGACATGTTGCAATAAAAATGACCATTTCAAAGATTTGGACGTTGAAGCCTCCAATACGTTTTATATTTTACATATCAAGTATGGTAGATTTTAAAGTCAGTCAACCACAAAATGAACTGTCATATTGGAGAAACGTTTATTCTTTACGGTATCACATGTGCATAAGTTACATGTTTGACCAGGTTCCTGTGAATAATAATTATTCATTCACGCTGGCTTATCTCGTTGACGTATCAGGGTTCGCGAGTTCTGATATTCACAAACCCTGGTTTGCCTTAGAGGCCATTCTTCCTGTGCACCTGCTCTAGTACTTCCTGTCTCAGTTTGCCCTCTGCTCGCCTCCCCCCCCCCCCCCCCCAACCCCCAGCCTCAAACCGCATCCTTCACACTGTCATTATAATATTTGCAGAAAAAGAATTTAAAAAATGCACCTTTCTCCACAGTCATAGTTCATCACGAAGAAATGTGCATGTAAAACTGACAGGGTCTTCCCCATCTCTACCCCTTTAACATTTACAGTAGACGTCTCAAGACATCATAAAAAGTCACAGCTTTGAATTCATATTTGTACCCTCGCTGCTTACTTTTGTCTTTCTTTTGGTGTTCTCTTCACTCCTGAATATGTTGCAGAGGTCTCTGGGAGGCATAGTCTATTGATGGAGTGGCGTTCTGTTCCTGGATGTGATCATAGGCCCGCAGGTAGTGACCTGAGTTCTGCTGATAATAATACACCAACTTCTTGGCAAAAACAGGCTCCACCTGAAATAAATTAAAGTTTGAATATATTATGTTAAAACATTATAATTTTATCCATTGCGTCCCAAGAAGACAAAAAATCTTAAATACGTCTTAATTGTCATCAGATTCCTACTAGGTCAATAAAAATAATGATGATGATCAAAATTATAAACAAAAATTGTATTATCTCACTAAAAATTATAGTTTGGTTTTTGTTGCCAAGCTGACAATATTTAAAAATAGAGATCTGCTTTAGCCAAAGGAAAGATATTTTCATCCATTAAAACATGTGTCAAATCAAGGTCCGTGGGCCAAAGGCTGTTGCAAATATCGTATCTTATCTGGCCCCCAAGATGATGATTTAAATGCTAAATATTTGTATCACTCAGTGGTGGGAAGAAACAAAGTACAAATACTTTGTTACTGTACTTAAGTACATATTTCATGTATCTGTACTTTACTTAAGTAGAGTTAAATTTGGATACTTTCTACTTTTACTCCACTACATTTTACATTAAGTATATGTACTTTCTACTACACTACATTTCTATAATGCGTTGTGTTACAAGTTACATTCACGTTGTGTTTTTTGATTTGTTCGCTAGTTTGAAAGTAACCAATGGTGAGAGGGGAGTTGATCCATTGAATCACTTCAAACTGGGCAGATAACATTAGACCCACCTTCAAGAAGAGCTGGACCAGTGAAGTATATTCTAGTATATACATCATTGAGCTGGGAGCACCCGCAGCACTGCTAACACACACAAAATGTATTCCACCGCTGAGAGTCAGCCAGAAGATATGCACCACCCATGGACTTATTGAAAGATTATTGAAAGACTATTGAAAAATTATTGAAAGATTATTCAATACATCAGGACAGATTCTCTCTCCCAAAAGAGCCAGACTGGACTCAAACTTTGAAAACCAACGTCTTCTGAGCTTGAACAAGAAATTCTTGCTGCAATATTAAACTGTGTCAGTTCATGATGTTAGGAGACAAGAGATGTCTCCAAATGTCTCGACACTCGGGTCCAAGTTTTGAAAATGGTGTCAGAAGTTAAAATATTGTTCACTATTGACCCATTACAAGGTCGACTAGACCGTATTTTAACTAGAGTTGATGACAAACTGGACTTGAAATGATCAGATGTTCCTTTGTTAGTTGTGTCTAATGCTCCTTTTTTCAGTCAGACAACTTTTACTTAAACATGTTTACTGCAGTTAAAATGACACATTGGTTTTACTTAGTGTTCAGTAAAAACTTTCAAAAGTATAATCATTCCTCTTTCTTATTTTGATCAATGGCATTTAACTCTGCAGGTCATCCCTGAAATTCTGACAAACAGAATCACAAGTCCAAGTGTGAACTGTGTCACAGAGTAAACACAATAAAAACATGAATTATCTGCAGCATCGTTCATTAAAATGACTCAACACTATTAATGTATTACAGAAAATATACATTCACTACATTTATGATATTGTAGACCATTGCATTAAGTAATACATTCAGCAAGTACTTTTACTTTTAATACTTTAAGTATTTTTAAAAGCAAGTACTTATTTACTTTTACTTAAGTAAAAATATTAATGTGGTATTTCTACATTTACTAGAGTACATTTTGTCTGTTTATTTGTACCTTTAGGTACAGTGTTTGAGTACTTTCTCCACTATTGATCACTTCTCGTTTTTCTTTAAATTCAAGCATACTTTATTTAGTGCAGACTTCTCATGAGAGCTGGCCAACATTGAAGCCCCCCACCACCACCCCCACCACTCAAATATGAACATTTCAATAATCTTTGATTTTTAAGGGGGAAGAGCAACAAACGATGTCAAATGAGACTAGTCAAACTCTTGCTGAGGGACTTGCAATCACAAAAAGACTGATTTGATTTAAAATATTTGAGTATTAATTGAAACTATGCCTTCCTTGGGTTGAACCAGCAGTTTAGTTTTGTCCCCCTTTTGTACCAGAGTTTGACACCCTGCATTAGAAGGTAGAGTTTTTAAACGTTTATGTCACATGTGATGACCAACCAACATCAAGTCCGAAAAGATGGATTTGATTCAGTGAAATCAAAAACATTAGTTGTAGTCTTAGATGTTGCTAGCTCTTTAGATGTCATTACAAGTAACTCACTTTGATCAGGATTATTATGGTTTATTTGGATGTACATATGTTCAACATTCCTGTGCTTTTTAAAATTCTTGTACAGTGAAAAGACATTTTATTTAGTCTGAGCTAAATGTGACCAAAAGAGCAGCATTTAATTTTGTGCATTCTGCACAATAATCCCTGTAACCAGATATAGATGAATATAGGTTGACAGTAACAATAAGAGAAAAAATACCGAAACTCTTATGACGCCAGTGATCTTTGCCTTTGATTTCAGCATTCAGATCAGAAATATATAGCACCTTACTGAACAAGAATTATTGCTTTGTAAGTCCAGAAATTCTAGATATTTGCACAAAGACAGTTTAAAAACTATAACTGAAGAATTATAAGTCTGCTAAGAATTGAAGTCTGAATTTTCTAAATTGTTATCTATATGCAAATTTAAGTATAAAAGATTAATTATATGCAACCAACTTTTAAAGTCAAATAAACTTTAACTTTCAATCTGCTTTAAAAAGACTGCATTGTTAGCAAAAAATAACGATTTTGCAGTGTTTGTGTACCTGTGCTGTGATTAATTTCCTGGAACGTTGCGGATCGGGGTATTCATCTCCAAAACACAGAACCACCTGGTGTCGTGGTAGATGACGGCCATTATGGGCAAAATCTTGAACCTCTGAAAGGAGAGGACCAAAAGAAGAAAATGATGCATCAATACTGAAGTAAACATATAAATCTTGAACATATCCCACTGAACAGGTGTGCTGTCGTAGATACAAGTCAACACCATTCACTGAGCAAATGACATTTTCTTGCATTGGAAGAAGTTTTCTGGAAAGTACTAATGAGAATGGTGGAAATTTAGATTGAAATGAGACAGAAAATATTGTCACATCACACGGTGTGGTGGACCACATGTGGGTGGGGACTCCACATACTTTGGCCCCCATCTGAAAAGATGAGTTCCTGCTTTGTGCTACCTCAACACTGCAAGAGGGACTTACCCAACTAAAGCACCTGCAGCCTGTTTCATCATTCTCATCTCTAGTGTCACAACCATCACCTTTATCAATGAATTCAACCACTCACATGTAAATGACCGAGACAGCAGATGTGATTTTTTTTAAATTATCATATTTTTCGCCTTATAAGTCACTTCTTTTTGCATAATTTGCATACCCTGTGACTTGCACTCAGAAGTTACGTATTTATGGATTTTTTCCCATATTTATAAACCAATTTTTGTCTGAGACATGACCATTTTCATTCATTCTGACTGAAAATATTGAACACTACCATTTTCAGCCACTAGATGGCACTCGAGTAGTATGGCATGTCGTTATATCATATAATAGGTAAAAGTGGCTATTAATGACACAATCGTCTTGCCATATTCTGCCACCTTCACCCAGCTCGCCTGGAGCAATCGTCAAATCAGCTTCATTTCGTTGCGCCACTCCGGCGAAATGCAGCTGATTTGACAAAGTGCATTTATTAAGTAAAAGTTCAACTGAGACATACCTTTACTATAAAGTCGAACAAATTGTTTTTAGGTGGTTATCTTGTTAAATTTTGAAGAGATGCACAGCAAGTCCTACCGTGCACATGCTTACTTCCGCATATTGGCTTTTGAAATGCAGGCGATTTGACCATCAAAGTGCATTTATTAAACAAAAGTACAACTGAGACATAGCTTTATTATAATTTCGAGCAAACAAGTAATTGTTTTTCAGTGTTAATATTAAGCCATTTGGCAGCCAATCGATTTTTGTCACAACACTGGTCCACATTTCCAGGTTGTCAGGGGTGACGCATAATAAATGCAACGTATGCGGCGAAGCGACGTATTTATGGATTTTTCCACTTTATTAGACATATTTGAACTGATGCGACTTATAGGGCAGTGTAACGTTTACGGTGGAAAATATGGTAGGGACAACCAAAAGCCTTCATTTAAACAAAACTAAACGACAAAAAACACCAACAAAGAAATCACAATTTACACAAGGACAGAGCCTCAAACGTTTAAAAGCCAAACCTAAACATTTTTGATAATAAAGTGGTAAATATTCTGCTGGAGGTTTGTGGTTCCAGTTTTTTCCTCGGTATGCTGTAAATGCTGTCAGTTCAGATGTGTTTAATGCAAAAGCAATATGTAAAGTTATGGGCATAAATGAATATGATGTGTATGAGCAATGTTAAAATGTACTTTATGTGAAGGTCTTGAGCCTCCTCCTTCCTTCAAAGTAGCCTTTAGTTCTTCAGAACTTCTAAACATTTTTTTTTTAGGTTTTGCTTTGAATAATCTGATGCATGCTCAATAATCCAGGTAGAAAAAAGCTAAAAAAGTTAAATCTGGTCCTCTGGACATTCAAAAAAAAACAAAACAAAGCAACACAAAAAGGTTTTGCTTTGAACTTTGGCTGTTTTTACGTTTTGTGCAGTTCTTTTCTATCGTTTGTTTATTTGTTAAGCAGCGACACAATTTCTTGCTCAAAAATGTCACAGCTCAACAAATGAACCAACTGGGTTCAGTTTAGCAGAAAACCAAGACAGAATGGTATCTTTCTGAAACAGCCTCTCACAAAAACACACAATTTGTTCCCATTTTTGAGCTGAATCTGAGAAAAATGCCAAAGCTCTGTTAGCCAAAAAGTTGGTATACAATATGTCTGTGCAGTGGATAGTTACAAATAAAGAAAAAGGGAGAAGTAGAGGATAAAACAACAGATGAACAGCATCTGAAAATATCCATCGATCAACTCATACAGCAACTAAATGCCGAGATGTGTACCACAGCTGCTGCTTACCAATAAGGAACTGATGGGTGTCAAACAGTTTACATGGCTGATCCTTCTCCAGCTTGTTGGGTTTGTCCAGGTGTGGAGACAGAGGTCCTTCCCAGTATACTCGTCCTTGACACAAGCGTTTAGCGTACAGCCCGTCAGCTGTCATCCACAGAAGCACCCCTTTCTCCAGTATGTTGGGAAGCATCTCAGCCCCCTGTCTTTGGGACTCAGGGTATGGTGCTGGAAAAAGAACAATTTCTGCACCACTGTGAAACTTGTCCTCTGAACAAGGAGAAGATGAGGAGGAGGAGGAGGATGGAGAGGATGCAGAGGAGGAGGTGATCCGGCAACCTTCTGGGTTGGTGATAGTAACTTCTTTCACTAGGGATTCTCTGTAGTATAGGGACACATGCAGGCTGAAATCTGAAAGAAAGAGATGAGCCTTTAGTTGACACCTCTAAATGAAAATAAACTATTAAAAGTCACAATGTGGTCAGGAGGAGGGTCTTGCAATACTGAGTCCATAAATAAAATCTACAGTAACACGTTAGAAGCAGTCTTTCTCTCAAGTGTTACTCTTTTCCCTCTTATCATTTGAAATCATCTTCTTCACCATCCTATTTTAACATATAGTCAAATACTTTTAAAAAGCTATTCGATGTGATGAACGGCTGCTCTGAGCTTCAAAATACAGAAGTAAAGGTTGCATGTTTTAAAGAAATGCAAACACACTGTTGTTGTGTGAGTCTGTGTGCATCCAGTTCTTTACCTGGTATTGTGTTGTTGTGGTCAATTGCATACATGGGTGGTTGGGAGTCGGAAAAGTAGGTGTGGAATGAGAGCTGAAAACCTGCGTTTAAAAAAATGAAAAGGTAAATGCACTGATTGGAGCATGAATGAAAAAGCACACAAAGCTGAAAATCTATTACACTCTTATTTTTTTTTTTTTTTTTTGCAGAAATGTGCTTCAAAGACAGTTTTATTTGCAGATAATATGATTGTAAGACTTTAAAGGAAGAAGCTGATGATCATATTTATTTTACACTTTAGTTGGCTTTGCCTTTAATTACTTTAAATTCACAATTTACAGTACTTGTCTTTGATTTGTAAATGTATCAAACATCAGTCAAGGAAACACACAAGACAAAACTAATTCTTCTCCCAGCAGCACTCCAAAGTGGAACAAACCAGTTATGGTGGTGCTAAGATGGTCTCTTTGGCACGCCCCCTCCTCCGGTGCTGGCCCTCTCCCTCGTTGACAGTCACGTCAAACTGGTTCAAAACCAACAAAGTCCATGCTCAATAATCCAGGTATAAAATCCACCAATTTTCAGTCAGGTCATCTGGACAGTTTCTTTTTTTGTGTGTGTGCTGAAACATTTCACCTTCCATACTGATGAAGCCTTCTGGATGGAAAGTGAAACGTTCCAGGACAAAAAAAAAGAAAAAAGAAACTGTCCAGATGACCTGACTGAAAATTGGTGGAAGGCATATATGTTCTTGTTTTTAGTATTTCACCCTGTTTTGTGGTACACCTTGATTTATTGTTTTATACACTACTCTTATTTTTAACTGCATGTTTATTATAGTTTATTGTTATTATTGTTATAGTTATTGTTGTCTGTACCAGTGGTGTAGTCTACGCAATACGCGGGTATACGGAGTATAACCACTAAAAAAAGCTTTAGAATTTCAGTATACCCACTTAAAAGTGCCCATTGATACTTAACATCATTAGGCACATGTCGTTGATATGTTAAACGGCAGTTAAATGCTTCTGTAACAATCTGTATGCAATGCTTGTTTATTACATTCACTTATCCAGTGAAGTATTGTATAATTCTGTACTTACTACTTAATACTTGTACATGTTTTGCTTTGATACCGTTTTATAAATTCTATAACATGTTTTTAATACAAAGCCAACTTTTGTACAAAGTTTGTGCTTTTATTCAAATGCATCAGAAAAATTTGGAAATGTTCAATATGCTTAAAAATCAAAATAAATTGACGATTACAGTGCACTAACCAGTGCACATTGGTTTCTAAGCACAGTATACCCACTACAAAAATGTAGACTACACCACTGGTCTGTACTTTATACGTTCTGTTTGGAACAGGTCTCTCTTGTAAATGAGTCCTCGTGACTCAATAAGGCTAGCCTGTATAAATAAAGGTTGAATGGGAAAAAAAGTGAAGGAAAGCTAAGAGGACAATACCGAATGCGAGTAAAAGATAATGCTAGTGTAAATTAACATGTATTTTTTTCCTTTGTAAAGAAATGCTGTATAGTGCATTAAAGTCTGAACAAGTTGAGAGTGTAAAGGGTTGTGTCTCACCATTTTCTGTGTGTGAACTGGGCCAAACCCGCCCGATTGATGGTTGGTAGTGGCACTGTCCGTACTGCAGCTCTGCATGTTGCCCATGGGGACGTGAGTTAGACAAAGACTGTTGTTCTGGCGTGACATGGTAATCACTCCAGTCTCTTCTCTCCTGAGAAACCATAAAGCTGGGCACCTACGGAGGAAGCGCAGGGATGGTTTCACACCTAGCATCTCATGAAAACAAGACTTCTTTCTGAAGACGACTGAGTGCTGCAAAATCTGTCAACCTGGTTGTGCAGTGATGCAAAATGAGGAATGTAGCCAAGTGCATTAACGTGTGAGGGTGTCTCTTCCAAACGACTCGTCTTCATCCCTGTAAATGTTCAAAAACAGAAACCGTCGTGCTTTACCAAACAAGATTTATCCCAAACTAAGGAGCCATTATTAAAAGATTTATGACCTAATGTCATGTAAAAGACAAACAATAGATTTTACTTGAGTTCTGATGTGCAATAGCATATTCCGATCACATATATTAACATCTATTTTAAGAAGTCTGAACAGTAAATAATGTTTCCTGCACTTGTTGGGCTGAGTTTTTTTTTTATTTATTTTTTTTTTATCTGAGATGATTTGCAAAGCGAGTGCAACAGACTGCAGACTGCATCTACTTTTTTCATGTAGACAAGACAGCAAACACTGCTCTCCTGTGACAATAACCTGTACAATGTTAGAGACTTAGTTATGCAAGGCTGAGGTTGTCTTGTTGTGATGTGTGCACCCTGAGCTTAGTAACCGAAGCCCTCTAAAAAAAGCACTATGGCCTTTTTGGTTCATGCTTTTGCTTCCTGTGCTTCCTGCCTCATCAGAATCAACAGCAGGAGTGCAAATGTATGTGAAAAATCACCAATAGTTCATGAACACTGTAAAATGCAACAGTATTCTATGAGTAGATGTGCGATTGCAATGTTTTGTTGCGATGTTTACAGTTTTTTGTTTAAATTCAGCTATGAATTATATTACTTCTAAAAGTTTCCCACACTATATACACAAGTATTTAAATAGTTGGTCTGAATCTTTACAGCTGCGCTGCATCGTGCCTATTTTAAAAACTCACCCTTTTTGGTTCCCTCTGGGATGATTCTGTAAACTTTGTATGGTTCTGAGATGTCCAGCTGGCTTCTTTCCACGATTTCATCAAAGTCGTTGCTTTTATTGAGGGCGCAGCGTAATCTGGTTTTCCATGTGGGGGGGTCTGGTTTGTCTACACCTTCTTTATGTTTTCCTTTAAACATTGCCCATGCCTAAAGGGGTGGAAAAAATGCACGCATTCAACAAGTGAATACATTTCTTAAGCTTCCTTTTTGCTTATTGTGACCAACCAAACTGGATTAATATATATATCAAGCAAAAAATTAGGCTTTTTAAATAAATCCTTAAATGTTACTGAGCTTGGTTAATTCTCAAGTTAATATTGCAGTTATCAGGTACTTTAGGTATGAGACAAGGAACGAGATGGTCTGACCTTGAAGAGGGCAGCATCCTCTTCTCTGTTGTAGTCTTGCTTTCCCGCATGTTTCCAAGGAATCCTGAAGATGGTTTTCTCATCATTCTCCCAAACCAGGCCAGGATATCGCCCGCTGTCAATCTGTTCTATCAGCCACTGTCTCAGCTTGCCATTGCCGCAACTGACGGACACACCACTGTCTTCATCCAGGTTCATCTCTGCAAACAAAACATTTTTTTTAAATAAAGCGCACAGTAGATCTGTGGACACAATAAGGCTTTTTGTACTGTGAGTTTTTGTTTTATTGTTTGGTTTTTCAAAGTATACATATCATTAGTGGTATTTAAAGGCATATGAAGTTGCATTTTCCAGTTCGTTTTCCAAATGCATTTATTTTAATTCAGAGTCACCCCATGCAACAATACTAGAGGTCACTTCTGTCAGATTTTATCTAATTTTCAAACCATAACACGGGGAATGGAAATTATAACACAAATATGTTAATATTTAGGCTAATATGAGAAAATGTCAACATTTATGACTCACATGCATGAATAATAACACGAGTTATTCAGCTATTAAAAAAGGCAAAGTGCAAATAATGAGTGATTGGGTCTGAATTAATCAGGTTTTAGTCTAAAACAGAAACTTCTTGTATTAGATTGGCTGGTTGTTTAAAGTAGAGCTGATATGAGTTGAGACATTTTCTACAGAACAGAAAGCTTTTCACACACTGAAGGAAAAGTGTTCATCCAGTTTGAATTCAGATTGTTTTAGTGCAGTCTGCAGCTGCTTACCTTTAGACATGTAGGGTCCACCGCGGAAATCTGTCAGGAGGCTGTCGGGGTCTATTCTTAAACTGTGTCACTTTTTTTTTTTTTTTTTTTTTGCAGGGAGGAGCCTGTCATCAGAACCTGAGAAGTTCTGGAGGAGATGCGCCGCAGATTTGCGCCTTCATTTCAGTAAAAACTTTGCGCCCACGCAGCTCTGCAACGGGGAATCCCTCTGTCAGAGTGACACCCAGCGCGCACATCGGGACTGAATGAAACAAATGTCTCTACTGTCAGAAAAATCACATAAATCCCACATGTTTCTTTTAAAAGAAAGACCAACCCTTTTCCCATTGACCAAGCTGCTCCCTGGAAACATCTATAAGCTGTCCAGTATTTCACCAGGACAAAAGAAATAATGTTGAGGAAAGTCTTTGTGGATAATATCAGTCAAATATGTCAAAAGAACTATGCAAAGTATTTGTAGGTTGATGTGTTAATGATACTGCCCTCCAGTGGCTACACATCCATAAATCCTGCTGTCATGTAGTGTCATCTAAATTTAGCAAAAGTCAGAATTTTGCTTTTTGTTCTAAAATCTGTGAGGGTGTAACATAGTTAATATTGTATAGAATTCCACTTGTCATTACTTC